GAACACGTTTGAATAAATTCCATTGATTATTGAGTTGTTCATCGAGTACAGGTACACAATATGCACCAACAAACAAGACACAAAGAGCGATAACTATTTTCATAGCTGTTATTTTTAATAATGATATGCTTGTTTGTCGAGGAAATTTGACTTGTTAAATGTAAAGCAGTTAGGTGTCTTTATATATGTGTTCTATGTTTCATGTGCTCACATTACATGGCAAAGATAAGATTGAAAATTGCCATATCATTTGAAAAAAAGAAGAAGTAGCGTTACATAGTATGAGAATATTAGGTTATCTTTTACAGTTTTGACGTTGCATTATTAAAAAATGACATGTAAGTGATGGCGCATTTTGTAACGGGTGAAAACAATCAATAATGTTCTGAAAGAGTTGAGAGGCTAATCAGAAGCCATTTTACAGATACAGTGCTAGATTGTGTAATTGTGAATTATATTGATCCATTGAATTTCATGGAACATGATTATTAGTCGAAACATGATGAGTATTTATAGCGGTAAAACAGTTGAGCATTGCTGAGATTCTAGTACGTACATCGTTTGAAACTTTTTGGATGATGAGAAATTTACAGGGAAAGCATATTTATATAGCTGTAGGTGGGCCTAAGAGATTAAATTTATATATTAGTTCGTATGTTTGCTGAGAATATTCATTAGAGCACTTATGGAAAAGAAACAAATATAACAAGGTAGTACGTTTTTAATAATTCATAAAATACTAATTATCTGATGAGACCCTTTATTAACGCACTTAGACGACAATAATCAATCAACTCAGGATCAGATCTATAATCTATGATAGCTCACAGTTCTATGAACTGGTTCTGCTGTTGAGAATTGGTTCTAGTGATCAGTTCTTTTTATATGACGTGAATCCACTGATAATGGCAGTGTAGCAATTTTACTCAGCAATAGCTCCAATTGTGAAAAAAAAACCATTGGTCATTATAACGAGTTCTGAAAGTAGAACACATTCATACAGGGCGGACTTGCGATCGATCTATGATTAGTCTGTTTGCACAGTTCAGTTCATTGATCGCGAACTATTGCAGGTGTAATCAGATCATGAAAATTGATTAGAAGGATACCTGAATTTCGAATTTCATTTCTGAATGTTAGTTCTTCTCGAGGAATAAGAAGGGATATGTTAAGTTGAAATTTTTGTGTGGTTGTTACAAGTAGTACTCTTGATCACTTGAACAGCTTAGCTCAGAGAAATAAGATTTGAATAAAAAAAAATGTCGTTCTAGTTTTGTGACTTTTGCATGCTTTACTTCTAGTGCTGACTGATTCTGAAATAGGGATGATGGATACGAATTTATCATCGACGGTTTTTGTGACAATTATTTTAATATTTTCGATTATTAATTTGTTCAAACCTATGTTGCAATCTAATAAAAACAAAAATAAATTAAAAATAAACTATAACTTACAAAAAACTTGAGCGTTCTATTTTTTCGTCTTTGACAATTTGTCGAGCAGTTGTTTGGTATCGATGTGAACTATTAAATGTACATACACCATAGATAGTCCGTTCGGATGGTTTTCATCTATACTATTTTGAAAGTAAGGTTTTATCAGTTTTCATACTGGAGAAGCTTCGATTGCCAGTGAGCCATGCCATCAATGACATTGCATAAATTTGCAAAAGAACTTTGATAGTCAAGAAGAACGCACTGTTGCATCGAACATAATCTGGAGCTTGAATTAATTAAATCTTTTTATTGAATTCTATATTTATTAATTATGCAGAGAACGAACACAAATGGTCGGTTGACATAATCATTCGTTATTTGAATGCTAGACTTTACAAATGCTCATCGGCTAGCTGACAGGAATAGAAGTTATATCTCTTATATAATTCAAGCAATTTAATTTACTCTTTTTATAGCATTTTATTGTATTCTTTAAGGTTTTATTTTATATAATTTGGTTTACAACAAATATTCAAAATGATCGCCATCAATTGAAATACACAAATCATCCTTTTCGAAATATTTGAAAAAGCCATAGACAAACTTTCTTTTGAAATAGATTTCCTTTTTTTATCAATACCCTTCTTTTAATTCAGCAATATATTTGACAGGTGTTTTGTACACGTTGTTTTTCACGTGCCTCTATAAAAAAATACCGAGGGACTTTAAATTTGATGAACGTGGAGCCCACCCAAAAGAATAACCTCTCCCTGTCTACCTCTTAGTGAAATTTTTGACCAAAAATTGTTGCACAGTACCAGCAAAATGGGGAGAAATCCCATCTTGTTGAAATATTACTGAATGCATCTTGCGTAGTCTTCTTACGTATGAAATAAAGAAAGATTGTAGAATTGGCAAATCATTTTCTCCGCCGAAATTATCATCATCGAAAAAAATGTTCTCAAATCGATCAACAAAGAATGCAACAAGTTAAAATTGCTAGCATAGACAGCATGGTTTCACTCCAGAATTTTACGAATAAAATCATTTCAATAGGGCTTTACATTATTAAATACGAAATCATGGAAAGTAGAAGACTAATACGGCATTTTTCTTTCATCATGAGTTCTTGTTCTTCTACGTGAAACTTTTCAGGTGACCAAAACTACTACTTACAATAGACAAACGAAAAATTTCACATCAATACATCTTTTCGCATTCGAGATATAATAGATTCAGAAGAAAAATCTGGAATTTTGCTTACAATCTGAAATCAATACTTGAATTAACTTATGATATTTCACTCATAGCTACCTCCTATTCAGCCACCATATTTTCACTTGAAACGGTTTTGAACAAATTGAAAGACTACCTCGTGCGATATGTCTTATTTCAGTAAATTAACAATTAGATCCTATTTTATTTTGTGCAATCAAACTCTGTACCAATCATCTATTCATATGTTTTACTGGTGGTTAAAGTCGTATTAATAAATCATAAGCACAGTAACATATTCTTGCATTAGACCAAAATGATGACATATGCTGTTCTTGATAGAAGTCATGCAACTATTCACAATTTTGAGAGAGATCAATGAAATTCAAAAAAACTTTGTTCATTGATAGTTATTGGAAAAATAAGTGACTGCGAGAAAGTAAACATGTTTGGCATACGATGGAAGGTTTCTAACTGATCCACGCCGTTTTTATTGACATTTTGCCCATATGTAGAGAGCGTCATGCTAGGAGAAAGCCTAAGAACATTTGGGCCCATGTTCCGATTCGGCTAAGATATCGAGGTTTCACGGAAATATTCCTATTAGACCCTGATTCTTTAACAAAATCATTTTTCGAATTTTGACCTGAAATTTTGCCCATGTCAAGGTTTCAGCTAGAGTAGCTTGTATGAGAGATTTCAGCGGTTTTTGACGGAGTATTATCGAGATCTGAGTTGCCAAAATACTTTTGCTTTGTAGTGTTTATGGAGCAGCGCCTATATTTTAAAAGATTCAATCTCGGCGATACTCCGTCCAAAACTGCTGAAATTTTTCATACAAGCTACTCTAGCTGAAACCTTGATATGGGCAAAGTTTCAGGTTAAAGTTCGAAAAATGATTTTGTTAGAAAATCAGGACCTATTAGAAATATTTCCGTAAAACCTCTATATCTCGACCAAATCGTAACGTGGGCCCAAATGTTCTTAGACTTTTGTCCTAGCATGACATCACTCACATATGGGCAAAATGTCAATAAAAACGGCGTCGATCAGTTGGAAACCTTCTCTTGTCACACGACTGCGACAATTCAATCATTAAAATAAAGTCTACTAGACAGTTAGTATAAGGGACAGAAACAGAATTTTTTTTATCTGCTTCGAGCAATATGAATACATATACTTATAATGATATTCATTCAAACATCGCGCAAAATACACATGAAAATGTCTATATATGAATAATATATTTATCATTGATAAATCTATAGTAATAGTGTAACCCACAGCTAATGCTTTTGCTCTTTTCCATCAAATCTACAATATCATGTCTTCATTTCAGACTGTCAACACGATAAACGATATTCAATTAATTGAATAAATTCAGAGTGGATATCAGTCTGTCATAAATTGTGAAAATTGATTATTGAAACTCAACAAAAGGAAAGTCTTGGATGAGGTTAGTGAACCCCGATGAGAGTGAGAAAACGATCGAAATCTGAAACAAGGCTGTCTTATGGATGAAATCATCAGTGACCAATAAAAAGAGAGTATTAAATTAAAATCTTTGTATCAAACAAGCGTCGTTGTTGGTATAATGGGTATTAATCCTTTTCCTGGCTCATAAAGATGTTAATAAAGCCCATAATCAGAATGCTCAACTTCAGTTTCAATGTTCTACTACAATAGCACAATATTTCATGAAAAAATAATTGCACTGCAATATCTATTCAAAGCAAAAAATCTCATTTTTCTATCTTTCAACAATTAAAAACCTTTGGATTAACGTCAATTATCTGGAAAAAAAAGTATTCTCCAATCACGTGTTGTTTTCCTTCAATATCCAACACAGATAATATTAATAAAGTGCTGATGATAATATCAAATATTCATTACAAAGAGCATCCCGGTTTATCCTATCGTTCTAATGCTACCACAATATCTCCCAGCAACAATGCTTTCTCTGTCCCTATTTTCTATAATATTTCATATATTAAAGGAAAGTTCCAATCAAGAAAAAAACTTCAAGTTTTATTTCAATCTATTGTTATGATATTTTTCAAATAACAAGAAAGAAAAATTTTAATGATTAAATATTAGAAATTGTACAGTTTCCTTTTCACTAGATGTTTTCATCGATTTAAACAAGTGGATAGCTGGCCATTGTTGCAATACCGCATTGATTTTTCTTGTTGCGAGTCATCCAGATGTAACCTTTTTGACCCCATGATGTTCCCCATGAGTTTTTAACAATATAGTATTGTTTTGAACTTGCTGTATCATAACCAACAGCTAAAACACCATGATCAAGTTCTGTTGATGAACAATCTGGTTCATTGTAAACACCTGATTTGTAGAATTGAA